CTGCTGCATGGTTCACAATTAAACCATAGGCAGTGTTACAGCAGGTACTTAAAGAGGGAAGGTTAGTGCAAGGGAGCAAGAAACAGAGATTAGCCAAAACACATAAAGCATGGGAAAATAGCTGAAAAAAAATCCCAGTCTAAGAATTAATTCCCTTAGCTTCAGTGTCCATAGCTAATAAACAATTATCGGAGTCTCCCCTGCTTGCATCTCTCTGGAATTATGCAGCAGTCTGTAATGCTGAAACAAAACAATTAACTCCAGCCCAAACAAGAATGATCTTTCAGCCAACCACAGGAAAAAAAATACACCTCAAAATGTCATTTTGGGTAAAATGCTCCATTCAGTCCAATGCAAAATCCTTCATCTCAATTTCAAATTATTGATCTTTTTTTCTAAACCTCTTCTCCTTGTAAATCGGGAGGTCAATATTTAAATAAAGAAATGCTCTTTCTGAAAGGAAAGCAAAACAATGAACAACTTGTGTTTGCAACCCAAATGAATTGGCTAGGCTTTTCCTATTTCTTTAACAGTAATCAATAAAAAGGGGAATATCAGAAAGACCTGAAATTTCAAAAAATTCTCCTTCCCTTTTTGGGGCTTGCCAGGTCCCCACTGAACCAGTAAATGATGTCAGTTCTCTTCCTGCAGCTACTCCGGGCAGTCTCTGGCCAGCAGCAGAAGGACCACCCGGATCTGCCACCCACTGCCCACCTCTGATGCACAGTCCTGGTCCGATTTCCTCCTGAAAGCCCTAAAAGCTGGGCAAGGAGGTGAAAAGGGATGTTATGAGCACATCACCTCTGCAGAACAGCAGAAGCCAAACCTCCTTTCAAAGCCACCAGAGTTCTCAGTGAAAGAACCAATGTAAAAAAAATAATTAAGTATTTTAAGGGTTCAGGAATATTCCATGCTAAGAGAAGGCAGCATGTCCCCAAATTGATTAAAAGCCTCCTCGTTCTCTTTCACAGTGCTTGGAGCCCCCAGGACTGGCACTGAGACCGTAACCACAGCAATCTGCTCTGCCACACGGGTCCCCATGCCGCTGAGCCATCAGGAGGATGAAGCAGTTAATGGAAAACAAGCTCAGCGCAGAGACTGGCGGCACTGGTTGCAGTGCACAATGCCACCACTGGCCATTCAAAGCCCTTTCTTCCTCTGCTTCTAAAAACTGCAATGTACCTTCAATTTTAAAACCTGTTCCCACTGGAGGGAAAGGCTTTAAAAATAACCTTTTGTTTAGAAAACCTGAGAGCTATCACCATGCTTGGCAACCTCTCACACAAAGAAGCGTTCCCCATGCCAGGCACAGTGCTGCTTATGTAGCTCTGCACCCCACCTTGACACTCTCAACCTACCTGGGAACAGGCTGACTAGCAGCAGTGGGAACCACCCAAATCCATGTTCTTGGGAAGAAACTAGCACATGGGCTATACGGGGAGAGACGTGCTCAGCTCGCCAAAAAGAATGCTCGCAGTTATATTATGAGGATGGAGACCTGACCCCATCCAAAAATGGACGCTGTGGTTATTCTGAATGCAACAGAAAGTGGATTCTGCTGTTTTGTGGTGCAACTTAACCACTTAGCTTCAGTTCCTTATTTCACTATCCCTCCATGATCTCAGTCACAAGAGGCAGCCAGAAACACACAGGCTATGTTCTCTCAAGCTATCCAGCCAGCCACTGTAAGGGGTCTCAGGGATAACACTGGGGATAACACTCTCAGGATATAAGGTGGGGGCTCCAGCCCTTGCCCAGTTTGCTGTGCTCCACCACGGCGTGTGTCTGCGTGACCCTGGGAGTGCGGCAATGGAGCTGGCTGGACGCTCCTGCAGATGGAGCGATGACTGAAACTCCCGAGTGAGTGAGGAGGGTCCTGGGCTGGTTGCTGCCACCTGGCCTAGTGAAGGTGAAGCCATGTTGTGCACCCCTCTGAGACATAAAGAGTTTCCAGTCTTGTTTTTCCTCCCGTTCTTTGGCATAGCTGATCAGAGCAAGGGTATCTCGAGGTACCCAAAGTCCCCACTGAGGGCTGCCTTGCAGATGCGCGTCCCTCTGGGTAGCTGAGGAGGGCTGGAGGGAGATGGGGCTGCTGGGCAGCACTGAGCCACAGCCAGGGCGCACGAAGCAGAGCAGCACACAGTGGCACTACGCGTCTCCCCAGCCAACAGCTCACTGCAGACACAGGTACATGAAGCGAACGTCCCCACAGCTGTTCTTGAGATGTTCGGCTAAACCCTGCCAAGGGGTCCGGACAATACCACAGCCCAACAGGAACATTACAGGGAATAGCATGCACAGGGTGGGAAGGAGGCTGAACAGAGAGCAGAGATGAGGCAGGATCACCCAGAGACCCAGTGATATTCTGGAACTTCCATGTCAGGGCATTTTTTGACACACACACACATACAAGTGAGATACAAAGCTAATTAGACATGCAAGAGGGCTCTGCTGTAGCAAGACTATAGCTAACAGGCTTGTGTGGGATGTGATTCGTGCTGTAGCATTTTGGATTCAGGGCAGGCAACACGGGCAGAGTACATTTATCTAAGGGCTTCCAGGGGCTGTAAACATCAGCTTTATCTTTAAGAAGGAAGACAGCGAGATTTAAATTTTTAACTTGTCTTAGGAAAAACCTGACAGCAGCTCTACAGCGTAAATCGTCCTCTCTGCCGAGCATGTGCTTGGGGTGGGAAGGGAACCAGGCAAAACCCAGCGCATTTTGCTGCTTCAGGAGGACCCTGAGACACAATTCAGCATTAAGCCATCTGACATCTCCCGTGTTCTAAAAGCATGACCCAGCCCACTGGGATTTATCCAGTGGCAAACACAACATCCTAAAGAAAAGTGCATGAACAACTCAATCTGCTCTTGCAAGCTGAACTAACTAGTAGCCGTGGCTTCACTTTGTGCAGGGCAGAAAGGTGGCCAGCGCTGTGCAAAACAAAACACTGATACCACAGCAAACACAGACTGGGACTTGCCTCCTCCCCCAGCCTCCTACAGGGCTATGCCACACCACTCAGGACATACAAAATTGTCATCACCAACCACCCTTTGATGTTGCCATAAATGAGCTCATTTGCACGTCACCTCACCTTAAGGCATTCCATGGGGGTTTCTCAGCTTGTTGGTTAAACGCAGGCAGAGCAGGGCCACACAGTCCCTCAGGCTGCTTATGGGTGCTGAGTTCTTTCACAGCTCCTTGAGTGTTAAGCCCGGACAGGTGGTGACAATCAAAGTAACCCATTCCTCATGGTTTCACAGCTGAGCAAAGGCACTTTCTCAACACCAGGATTCACTGCCCAGCCCAGGAGCCCCTGGTTCATGCTGCAAGAGCTGTGATTCCCCCCATGCTGACAGGAGGAATAAAGGTGAATTTGAAAAGCTAGGGAACAACCTCTTGTGCCACATTATTTATTTATAGAGTGGAGATTTCACTCCTTGCAAATTTGAAAGCCATTTAGCTGAAAGGGACAAATCTGTAGCTATAAGTTCCAGCTAGATATTGTATCATAGTAGCAATAATGAAGTACTGAATTACTTGTTATGGCAATTGTACAAGTTGAATGCATTGTGCTTCAATGGATGGGCCAACAAACACTGAAACCACTCCTAAGGAACCCATGAGAAGTAAGAAAGTAAAGAAAGGCGATCTCTACAGCAGTCAAAGCACTTCTCATTTCCAAATGGGTCCACACTGCACATTACAAACAATTTTCAGGGCTCAACAACAAGTAAACCCTTACTGATTTAAGCACCGATATTACTGATTGCAAGGCAGCAATACCTACAAGGGGAATCTTAATTTCCTAAAACTTAATGGCTTTCTTAAGCCATTTTTACAAAGCTTTAAGTTGGCACTTCTAGGTCATAGGGATGAACATGAGCGATTACTGCAGCTGAGCCTTTTGTCTTACAGGAAGGAAGGTAGCTAATTACCAATAGTTGTGTAAGTCCTGACAAAACAGCAGCGGCTGGTTTCCTCATTCCACTTCTAGGTCAATTCTAGAAGACCACACATTCAAACCAACACAAGCGAAATGCTGGTGAAGCTGAGGGAGTAAATCACAGCAGTGGGAGATCAAGCTATAAAGGGGATTTCTTTTCCTCCACAGAGACCATTAGCTATATCATGTTAGTCACCAGCCTAAGCCATCAATTCACCTTCATCATATTAGCCACAAGCATCTGTCAACAGCTGAGCACAGACAGCTCTTGCAGTGAACACACCGCAAGGTAATGGAGAGAGAAGTGCTCATAATTCAAAAGGCAAGTTCAGTGTGTGCTTCTCTAGTTGAAAGGGTGTGGAAATTTTCCTCTTCATTGTGGCCCTGCAAATTCCAATTGATCTGAAACCAACTTGCATTTTCTAAATGCTGCTGCTGCGTTTGAACTTCAGTGAAAAATCCATTTGCTAGAAATGAAGGTTGCCAATTAAAATCGGTCTGTTTATGTTGCTTTGGGGAGCCGAGGGGGAGAGAGAGAAAGAAAGGAAAAGCCAAATAATTCATTAAGTGATCTATATTGTGCCACTACGGTTAGCAATTATAATTATCCTAATAAGACTTTCCCGCTTATATAAGCCCTTCCATTCAGGGATCTCAAAACACTTTGCAACCATTAATGATGTTAGCTTCATAACATTCCTGACCTCGTTTACAGGGGAGGGAATTGAGGAAAAGAGAGAAAACAGCACCATTTTCTGTAACAGATAGCATTCATTTTGTAACTGCCTGTGAAGTTTATACCTGAAACTAAATCACACTTAAAAATCAGGGTCAGTTTTGAGTTCTTGTGCTGGTAGTCCTTGACTCACAGTTTGAGTGCGAAAAAAAAAAAAGGAAAACGCTAGCGAGAATTGTGTGAGCAGGGGAGGCTATCTGCGAACCTTCTGCAAAGAGCCGTAGGTCACTCAGATTTGTCACCCATGAAATGTGGCAAACTCATACAGAGAGCTTCTACCTCAGGCCCTTGCTCAAAACCATCCCTTTTCCTACCTCAAACAGCACTGACGTGTGGGACAGGCGTTCTCAGCATCCATTCCTCCAAATCCTTGATTTTGGCTCCTTCTCTGAAAGGAAAAATGACATAGAAGTAACATGAAATCCTGGGAAAAGAAAATGAAAAACCAAACTAGAATAAATAGTTGAACACATTGCACTGTATGTACCTAGGAGAAAGAAAGACTTGGGTAGCAGCCACCATGGGTTTCTGAAGAACAAATTGTGTCAAAACAATGTAATTTCTTCCTGTGAGAGGGTGATAGGTTTTGTAGATAGAAGAACAGCAGCAGATGTCATATATCCTAACTTTAGACACTGTTTTTTAAAGCATTCTCATAGCTGAATTAAGGAAGCTAGGGAGTTTCACACTGCTGAAGAATGCAAAAGTGGTTGGGAAGCAGTACATGGAAAGCTGTTACCACTGTTTCACTGACGAAACAGCGGGATGGACCTGTGCTCCACGGGGAGCTGCCCTGGGTCTAAGACTATTCAACACTTCCACTAATGATCTGGATGATAAAACAGAGTGTGCTTATTAAGTCTGCAGATGATGCCAATCGAGGAAGAGCAACACATCCTTTGGAGAACAGACCTGGAATTGAAAATGATTTAACAAATGAGAGCTCTAGTCCCAAACACCAGAATGCTCTTTAACAGGAATGAGGGTTTGTTTTGCCTGTGAGGTACATGAAGCAATCCTTCTGCTCTCGCCAGCAGGGTGAAAGCACTGGCTGAAGCACCAGATTTGGGCTCTGCATTTCTAGCAAATAGGATGCCACCTGGGAGCGCCGAACAAGATTAAGAGGTCCAGGAAAAAATACAGGGGGAAAAAAAAAAAAAAAAAAAAGATATATTTTTTTCCTTTTTCCTTTCCTTCAGAGGAAAGGACTGCTAGAATTTGAACATCTTACCCTAAAGGGGGAAAACAAGGGCAGGATGCATTAACAGCCTTCAGGTATGGCAAAATGCCTGTTTTCTACTGTGATGGATGGGACAAGGCCTTTCAGAGCAGGGCTGAGAATGGACAGAAGAGGCTCTGGCACTGGACTAACACGGTAACTACTGACTCAGGAACCAGTCCCCCCTGGGCTCCCCAGGGAGAGCCCACATTTTGCTCTGTGGGTGGGAGCTGAAAGGAGAACCCAAGGAACAAAGACCAGGGAAAGGAGTTCGTTGTTTAATGCCAGAGAGCCATAATGTGCCATATTTGCTAACTGCTGTTTAAAAAAACATTGAAAACAGTTGCCAGGCACATCACAGGAAGCCAGATACCCATTGAGGGCAGTGGGAACAGCGATACAAAGCAGCCATGAAACACAAAAACAGCTGCCCAGTCAGTCTGGGAAGCTCCAGAAAGAGCTGCTGTGATCCAGCAGGGACCACTTGAAAGCTGCTGCACTCATTTGTGCTGTGGTTCAGGAGAAACTGAGGCAGGGCATGGCTTGGCCCTTCCTTCACCATCCATCTGAGGTCTCTAACAGCCTACAAAAATGCGCTTCTTTCAGCAGCTTAAATTTAAATATTGAGCTTGCTGGGGTTGTCCAAAACTCATCTTCTACAAAAAGAAAAGAATTGTAGACCACTCGTGAATCTGTTGGAGAGAAGACTGATCCCATAAATTCTCCTTCGCGTGGCTCTTCACCCAGTAATATCCTTTTAAAAATGAAATTAACTTTCTTGCTCATATCATTGAAATTCCCTTCACAACCTGATAGCCAAATAATGTTAATACTAATTTTAATTCTGAAAAGCATACAAAAAGGGGAAATTTTCTCATTATTAATGGAAGAAAAAACCTATTTAGCATATCTAAATGAAAAGTGTAAGATCTATAACCCGTACAATAGCAATCATGAAAAAGCTACAAGATGGAATTATTCTCTCAGGGCTTTTATCAAGGTGGTTATCGTAAGTTAAATGTGAAATCCACCCAGAAATCACTCAGAGAATTCAGTATTCACACACTTCTCCACTGTAAATAATCCCCCATGCAATACTAAAAGTTCTCTGTTTATGACTCCATAATTCAGGTTGTGTCAGCAATTAGCACTGGAAGTTATCGCATTCTGCTGCATTCTTTAAGAGGTAGAGGAAGCTGGGTACTGCGGGCAGCCAGACCACTGCCTCATTTATCCGTGAGGCTGGCAAGGAGGCCAGCAAGTGCCTCCCAGACTGACAGACAGCAGGACAGCACGATGTGGGCCTTTCACGTTCCCTCTTATCACCTCCTCAGCCCCAGCAGGTCCCAACTGACCGCCAACGACATGAAGGCACGAAGCTTCCCACAGGGAAAACACCGCTGCACACGTCGGGGCAATTAGGATAAGACTTCCCCATGGAAGTTGAAAGGCGGCAAAGCCTGTCCCACAGTAACACCTTTGTCAGAGGGTGGTGGGGAGCATCAAGCATTTTATGGCTCCTAGTTCAGAAGTTCTTGTAATTAGGCATTACGATGCCTTTTTCATTGTGGAGCAGCCATTTTAACTACTCCTAACCCTCACCAGGAGGAACTACTGCTGTGCAGAAAGCAAATGGGCCTTCTCTTGCCTCGTATCCACGATGGCAGAAGATGCTAAAAATACACAGTGGTATTTATCTGCTGGTCTACAAGTAAAGTGCCACACAGAAGGTCCAGTGAGCTCGAGGGTGCAAAATATCCTCCTGCATATACACACACACACACATATATATACATATATATAGCTCTTGCAACCCTGGCTTGCACTCTAGTAACTCAGTACCTTCAGAGGCAGCATGCTGCCTGAGAGAGGACAGGAGCAAATCTTCTTTCCCTGCCTGTCCCTGCCTCTCACTTATCTCATTTTTCCTTTGTTTCCAGATACTTGGTTATGATCTAAATTGGATATGATCTAAAATTTGCCTGACCCCTCCATGCCCAACACAAAGCTGTACTTCCTAAGAGATGTCTTTGCAGGTGATATATTTGTGTCCAATTTGGGCCCAAATTTCAATCTAGCTGACCATTTTCGAATTGTGGAAATGGAGAAAAAGCACTTTATGCTTTTTCATGTGAAAGATGAGCCTCCCCAAAGATGAGTTTGAGGCACTGAGAGTGAAGCCAGGCGTAAAACTCAGTAAATATGAATATCTGAATAGGAACAGGCTTGAGTACTGCCACCAAAGGCGGTACCATATGCAGGGACCATCCTTTGACGTTTGTTAATTGCATTAGCAGACAACACGAGTGTAGCAGGAGACGGGTACTGATACCCTCGGACTGGTTTGTGGGGAGTTAGCAAGACAGAACAGCTGTAAGGTTCAGCTTGGCTCTGTGGGTAACAGACTGAAGCTGTTCCAATCTTTTAATGCCATACATTTACCAAAGAAACCACGAGAGTGAAAAAAGGAAGAGAGAATAAGTTGGGCAGATAACACATCTATTATCTACTTCCAAAAAGTGCACAAGTCTGACACCAGAAGTCTGCATTAAATAAATATGTTTCCATATTCATTAAGACAACTGCTATTTTCATTGCACTAATGAGGTGAATTCATTACTACTGCACAGCGTCTCTGTATGTTCCCATGAACTGATTTTAGGAAATTGTTATTTGTAGCTGAATTAGAGATAACAGGCAAATGAAATCCCCAAACAAGCTATGACAATCCTGTCTGGAGTAGACCCTGACATCCTTGTTTAGGGTTTATTTTGGATGACACGAGTTTAAATTCTGTCTCCAGCCATGTTTGTGGTTGTCATTAATTCGACCTGCAGGGCCAGAGGTGGCTGAAGCCAATGGAAACAAGGGTTTGGGTGGAATTCAGCCAGGTAAACACAGGCTGCATAAACAACTTTAAAGCTGTATAGCCTGTTGTCTTGGGAGACATAAGCGTTGGTAAGAAAGCCACAACTGAAACCTAAAATCTTAACCAAATCTTGCTGGTCTCTAACCAACTATCCAGGGGGAACATTTCAGACACCAGCAATTCCGTAACCTAGCACACAAAGACATAAAAAGGTCCAGTGGGCAGGGGATGATGCCACATAAATTCAGGCCTCATTAAGCATTATCTTCCTTTAATAGTGAAGAGTAATTAAGCATTGAAAAAATTGGACTAGGGACTTGATACAATCACCTGATGTCTTTAAAACTAGGTGGGGCATCTGCCTGTTAAAAGCTCCGTGGTAACTCAGAAAAGGTTATCAGCTCGACACAGGAATGAGCACAGGACAAAATGCTACGTGCTGCTTTGTCCTCCAGGTCACTCTAAAGCCACAGGGCACCACTGGTATGAGCTGTCTTTTCTGACGCCGCATGAGGTCCTTCCGTTCTCCTGCAACTGATCCACCTCTAGCAACAGATGAAGTGTGCTGAAGATTTATTTCAAAGGTCTCAGATTTTCTGAAGGAACACAAGCCATCCCCATTACATATTCGCAGCTGATTTTGCAAACCACAAGGGCAGATCCTCAGCTATAATATATCGGTGCAGTTCCACTGAAGTAAGTGGAGTTTGATCAGCTGTCATGAGATGAAAAATCTCAGTCCCTTATCTCAGGCACCTATGTAATTCCCAGTTTTCCCACATTATTCACTTAAATCTCCCCTTGATTTCCAGCTAAGACTAATAGCTGTGTACAGACATCTCTCTCTCCCTCCCTCAGCATCTTCGGTGCTGTGTCCTGGACTTTCTCTAGCATTTCCTTGATAATTCTGTTTATCCAAATTTTGCCGTGTGTACACCTTGTTTTCAGCATGTTTTGTCAGTACTTAAAGGAAATAATCAAGCCTAGTGCTAATCAGCAAATAAATAGACTTAGTGGGGTTATGGCAACAGGATAAACAGGATTAGCACTTCAGGGGGACAAAACGAATACAGATGGGCACTCAACGGGCAGGTTTCGCCATCAAGCCAAGAGTGCCGTGCTAAGTAGGGACAGGGGAGCTCTTAAGGCTTTTGTTTCTAGCCAGAGATCTTTAGGAAACTACAACACTACATTGTGGAAGCTGTGTGTTTATAAATATTTACACAGGCAGTGAATTCATTAGGAGTGATGATAATACTGCTTCAAGATCTTACATGTATTTGCCTTTGCTCAAGGGCTG